CCCCAAATGTGCTGCTGCCACTTTTCCAGTCACCTTCAGGCCATGCACCAGCACAAAGCATCAGGAATTCACCCCCTCTCCACCCCACAGGACCCAAACACAAAGCCCAACAGAACAGCAGCTGCTTTACCTGACTTCAGAGTACCTTCATCACTCCCCAGCTGCATCAAAGCCCCAGGACATCATTCCCACAATAATTTTACTGATGATCCCATTTAAGAGCTGCCTGCCAGCACTGTGTACTTACCATTGGAAACCCTGCACTGCTTGAGCACCTCACTGAAGCCCTCACACAGCTTGAGGTCGGTCTGCTTCTGGGCACACTCCAGGAATTGTTTCATCTCATACTGGCAAGGGCCTTGCTGCTGCTGGGCAGCCTGAGCACCCTGGGGCTCCTGAAACACCAAATGGCTCCGTAAAAACCCTTCCAACAAAGCCAAAGCACCCCCAGACTGCTTGCTGAGGGTTCTTCCCTGCATTTCAGTCAAAACCTTCATTTTTTTAAATGGAAAACAAGTGAAGGGCTAAAGTACAAAACAATTTTCCAGCAGAGGAATATCACTTTCAGAGTAGTTTTTTAAATTACAAATACTTGAGTGGTTTTGATACATTCAAGTAACTCTGGATGGCACCTGAGCAAAGGTCTCCCCAACATCAGACCTGGAACATGGAAGTCCTGCCTGAATCAGAGGAATACAGTAGAAAATAACACCAACACCTTGCCACACATCCCTCCTGCATCCCTATGAACTCTTTTTAAGATGACTCATGGCGAGTTACCTTGGAGATTCAGTTTGTAGTTATACTCTATATATAGTTTTATATATATATACATAGATTATATAAAGACTGTAAGCACCCCAGCTGTGACTCATGTGGTGTTTAAGGCTCCAGTAACTCCCTCAGCATGGAGCTGAGCTGCCATCAGTGTCCAGCTGTGCTTCCCCTCCCTCACCTGGTAAGTGACATCAGGCCTGGCAGCTTCAGAGCTGCCCCCTCCACTGAATCCTCCGGTGATGGCGTGGCCGATGGTGTGTCCCACGGCCGAGCCCACGGCCACCCCGGCAGCAGTCGTGGCCATCTGGGCCATCAGCCCCGGCTGCTTCGGGGCCGGGGACGCCACGGCCGAAGGCGGAGCCGCTGCGGGGACAGAGGCCCGAGGAGCCGGTGCTGGAGACGCGACTCTCCTCGGGGGTGCCCGGCTGCAGGGACACAAAGAGAAACACCACTTCACCATCATCATCATCATCTCAAACCATGCCGGGCAGAGGCCACACGGCTGCAGGGTTCCTCCTGTGAGGCACGGAATGTCCCGAGCTGGAAGGGACACACAGTGGCACAGAGCGTGACAGACAGGAGGCCCCAAGGATCATGCTGGGATTACACACACCGCTGTTACACACTGAAAGAGTGAACTCGGTGTTCTGGTAAGCGTCTTATGCAAGACAGGGTCAGAATTACAGGCTTTTTTCTGCTCACACAGCTGTTTTGGGGAAAAATACAATCTGCCCCAAAAGCGGCTGATCACCACGGCGCTGGTGTCCTGTCCCTGCGGTCGAGCAGACCCATTTCCATCCCCCAAATCGCCCAACCCTGCTCCGCTAACCCACAGCCAGCCCAACTCAAACCAGCCGGGCGCTGCCACCACCCCGGTGCGTCACCCGCCCGCACAATGGCGGCCAGGCCACTGCGGCCTGCAGGGGGGAGAGGGGAGAAAGAGAGGGGGCCCCGGCCGCCCTCACCTAGCGGGGGGCGGCACGCGGGACGTGCGGCTGCGGTTGCCCCTGGGCATGGCGGCGGGGAGCGGAGCGAGGCGGAGGAAGCCCCGAGCGGCGCGGAGGGAAGCGGAGGAAGCCCCGAGCGGCACGGCCTGGTCTGATACCGGCACGCCGCCTCTGAAGGTCACCGCGGGCTGCGTCACTTCCGGGACGGCGCGGGGCGGGGCGGGGCTGAGCGGAGGCCACGCCCCCTCCGCCCGCCTGAGGCGCCGCGCGGGAGCGGCCGCGATGGCGGCGGTGGCAGTAAATAAATAAACATCTAAAGTGCGGTTAAACCCGTGCTCCGGGGACTGTTGGTCATAATAAACGCTTAAATAGCGATAGAACTGCGTCTGTCCGATCTTCAGCCGCAATAAGCAGCTGAATTTTGATAATATGTGCGTGCAGGAACCTCCGTCATAATAAGCACATCGCGTAAACCCGCCTTTGTAGGATCCTCGGTCATAATAAACACCTAAATAGTGTTAAACCCTCGTCTTTGTGGGACTTCCAGCCATAATAAGCACCTAAATAGCGATAAATCTGCTATTGTAGGATCCTGAGCCACAATAAACTCCTAAATTTCTCAGGGACAGTCGGTCACAATAAAAAACTCCTAAATCTGTGAGGGACAGTCGGTCACAATAATAAACTCCTAAATCTGTGAGGGACAGTCGGTCACAATAAACACCTAAATCTGCGATGAACAATTGGTCACAATAATAAACTCCAAAATTTGTGAGGGACAGTTGGTCACAGGAAACACCTAAAGCACAATAAACCTGCACCCCTGGCACCTTCAGGCACAATAAACACCTAAATCGCCATGGAAAGTGTTCCAGCCTTCAGGGAATCGTTCTCTGAGGAAAAGGAGCCTCAAAAACCTCTCAGAATTCAGCCCTTCAGTAGAGTTACAGATTTTATTTTATTTCTATGGATTCATGGGTTTCTCTGGAGCAAAGAGGAGATCCCATCAATCCATAGAAACATCTCCAAGAGGTGCCAGAGGATGATCCTGGATTCCTTTTGGTGATGCCCAGCAACAGGACAAGGAGTAATAAACTAAAACACAACAAGTTTCACCTCAACATGAGAAAGATTTTCTTTATGTTGGGGTGGCAGAGCTGTGAACCTGCAGTGTCCCTCTCTGGAGACATTCCTGCCCCGCCTGGATTTGGTCCAGGTGACCCTGCCTTGGATGATCTCTAGAAGTCCCTTCCAACCCCAACCATTCTGTGACTATGGGATTTTCACCCCAAAAAAGAAGCCAGGATCCCTCCTGCCCCCTCATCCTTACTCAGGGGCTGAGTCTCCTTGCTTTAGAGACACTATCTACTCAGATAAATGAATTTTTAAATGAATTTATTAGCTATTGTATTAATGAAGCTGTTTCTACACCCAGCAGCAATGATAAGGGATACCACAGTCAACAGTTATGATAATTCATGTTAAAAAAATTGCTTGTTGGCAATTTCTTCACTTAAAAAGGAGGTGAAAGACCAGATATTTCAACATCTTTTACATCAGGGGATGTAACTGTTGCCTGATGAAAGAAGAGCTAACATTGTGAATTTATAGAGCAGGAGTACAGCTCAGAAAAGCAGTTGCTGACGAGAGAATTATCAGGAGATAAATATAAATGATAAACCATGCTCAGAACAGGGACATCTGCAGAAGCTCAGACCACTGGTGTTGCTGCAGGACAGCTTCTTCTCCCTGGCTCTTGGCCTCTCTCCATCTCTGAGAGCAATAATTGAGCAATAATTTTGCTTTTCTAGAGTTCAAGCAACTCGTTTCTTAATGAGTGGTTTTCTCAATGCTTTTTAATTAATACTTTTCAATTTTCACTCTTTTTTTCTTTGCTGGCAGGGCGATTCTTGACGCTTGAAGTCATTTTGTGACCGCGTCCCTCTTGGATTTGTTTTGTTTTGCAGAACAATGAGGGCAGGATGGCACTGCAGGCAGGATGAATGCTGCCATTGTGCTTTGTCCTGCTGCTTTCCTTGGGAAAACTCCAGAGCTCCCTTTTGTACCGGCTCACCCTCGCATCTGCTGATGCCCACAGCTCACAAGGATTTGGGGAAGGACACAAGAACCAGTAGCTGGTGGCCATCCCCAAAAAAATCAGCAATAATGGTGGTTGTGGTGATGTTCACAGCAAGCAAAGATTGGTTTTTTTCAGCTGTTTTGATGTGGGTTCACCACAGGGATTAAGTGGTTCTTTAACCATCAGCCAGGTGCTGATGCTTCTTTTGATAGAAAGGTGTGAAAGAAACGAGATCCAGCCTTGATTTTGGGTTGTGTCCGTCTGATTGTGACCCAGTGTGGCAGAATGGGATCCCAGATCTGGGAAATAAGTGATGAAATCCCATTGCACAAGTGCAAGGCTGAGCGAGCCCTGGGGGAACCATCAGCAGCTGCTCCCGAGCCAGGTGGAACCCGAGGCTGTGGTGTGAAAATCAAACTTTTAATAAATTTCTTCTATTGTTTGTCCAAATGACACATCCCAGACAAGCTCCTGGTGAGTTTGGGAGTGCAGCAGGCCCTCTGCACACCAGATGGGCTCTGGGCAGGGTGCGGGAGTTTGGTGCGTTCTGCCCAAAATCACGGAAAAACCTCTGGAGAACGGGGCTGAGGCTCACATCACCTGAGCTCCATGAAGTGACACATCATCCCTGAGGGTCAGCTCAGCCGGGGAGACTTTTCTCGCATTTTTCAGAATTGCCCTCGTGTCCCAGACTGGAGGGAAAAAACGTGAGGAAAAGCCCATTTTACTTTTGGAAATGCTCATTTTCCTTTTGGAAAGTCCATTTTCTTCCTGGAAAATCCCATTTTCCTGCTGGAAATGCCCATTTTCCTGCCACAAAATCCCATTTTCCTTTTGGAAAATCTAATTTTCCTGCTGGAAAAGCCCAGTTTTCTCTCCGGATTCCGGCGGGGCGGGGGCGGCGGTGTGAGGGGACTCTGCCGGGCTCGCGGCGGCCGCCAGGGGGCGCTATGCCACGCCCCCCCCACCCCCGCCCAGGCCTGACGTGACGTCGTCGCGAGGCGCCACGTCTGGCGCGAGCGGTGAGGGGCGTGGCCAGCGAGGGGGGAAAGGGGAGGGGGTTGTGGCGCGCCCGCCCGGCCGGCCAATGAAGAACGCGCGCGCGTGCGCGGCCGGCCAATGAGGAGCGCGCGCGTGCGCGGGGCGGGGCCGCGCCGGGCGCGCGTCGCGGGCTGAGGCGGAGGGACGGGGCCAAGATGGCGGCGCCCGTCCTGCTGCGGGTGTCGGTGCCGCGCTGGGAGCGGGTGGCGCGGTCCGCCGTGTGCGCCGCCGGCATCCTGCTGTCCCTGTACGCCTGCCACCTGGAGCGCGAGAAGGGCCGCGACAGCCACTACCAGGCCCTGTGCGACCTCAGCGAGCGGGTGCGCTGCTCCGCCGCCATCACCTCCAGGTGAGGCGCGGGTGGGACCCGCCGCCGCCCCCGCGGGGGGAAGGGGCTGAGGGCTGCGGGAGCGCTGGGGACGGGTCTCGGAGCGCTGCCTTCCGTGCCTCGGTGCGTGCTGGGGGCCGGGCCGGTGCTCGGAGGGGCTGCGGGGCGGGCGGGGGCACGGAGGGGCCGGGGCTGCCGGGGACGGGGCAGCGCTCCCGGTGTGGGGCAGCCCCGGGGCTGGAGGGCCCCTGTGGGAACGGGTATTTTCGGGATCGCTACGGCTGTAGGGTGAGGCACCCGCAATTGCTGTGTTGTAATCAGTGGCAATTAGGTGGAGTGACAGGCGTTTTAGTGGGAAAAGCTGGGCAGAGTGGAGTGCTATGTCTGTGAGCCGTGGTTAAGGACAACATAAACAAGTGCGGTTGCGGGTGGTTCGCTTTGTTAGCTTTAATTGCAGTATCTGTTTTGCGTTCTCATTGGGACGAACCCTGGCAGCACAGGAGATGCTTTGGTGATCCAGAGGAAGTGCTTCATTCAAAGGAGGCTTGGATGCCTCTGCAGCACAAGCCCAGTCCAAATCCTGACTTATTTTGCAGATGTCCAGCCAGTTCAGCAGTTGTTTTCTAAAGGCCAAGAGCTCTTATTTCTGTTAGGAGAGTCATCGTATAAATCTGGTTCTTAAGCAAATCTATGTATTAAATCCTTCCTCTTTGTTTCAATGAGAATTTTGTTAAGATTGTGTTAGTGCCTTCAGCTGAATGAATACTTGAGATTTCCTTTTTCCCCTGTCAGTGTAACCTGTGCAAAAGCTGTCACAGTTTTTACAGACGTACTTGCTGTATCATCATAACAAGCCAGTTTGATGGAGTATTCTCATCCTCTGTCAAGCTGGGAGCTGTGAAATTTTTGAGGCAAAACATCCAGGAAGCTCTTTTTCCTAAATCCTCTTCTGTGGTGACAGAAGTGAGATTGTGTGACAGAGATCTGTATCTCTGGCCACCTGATATTGTGGTTGAATGAAGGCTTTAACTCTGCTTTTCTGTCTGCCTCAGGTCATCTTTAGTTTGTGAAGGTGCTTGTTCATATCTCTGCTTGGAAAGTGGCCTGAAATGAGAAGTTTGGCTCTAACTAGGGAGAAAGCTTCAATGAACTCACCAGATAAATTCAAATAATATAAATTAAATTATGCTCAGGCTACTGAGATTAAAGCACATGAGTCTCGTCAAGCATTTAACTTTGATCACAGATACAGGGTAAAAAGAGAATAACAGAAATTCAAGCATTAAGTAACAGATAAAGGGGTAAAAAGACAATAACAGAGACTGAAGCCTGTTCTTGTACAGAATTGGTCCTCCAACAGCTTTTTGTGCTGCTGTTGTGACAGGGGATTGCATGTCACAATTTTGATGCATGTTTACTGAACACTTGGGAGGAGGAAATTACCTAAAGATATAATTGGAATTATTTCTAATTATGGAACCGAGCTCGGTAATTACAGCCTTCATTAGCAATGCTGCAGCTGACACGTTGAGTAAGACCTGGGAATCCTTGGCTGGAGGAATTCTGGATGATAATGTGAGGAGTTGGGGATAAAATGCTCTCAGATCTCCCAGCAGTTGCTAGGAGAACCATGCCTGGAGTGAAGCACTGCAAATGCCAGGAGAGCTCGTGATCGTGTGAGCAGGTGGTAAAAGGAGTTTGTGCAAAAGGAACGTGCAAGTTCTGCTCACTCCAACCATATTTGGAGAAGAATTTGCTTTCCAGGCTGTGCAGGGCACAGAGGGGGAGTTGGGCTTTAACAGTAATGCAGGAGGGCAAGGCATTGAAGTTGCAAAGAAATTAATCTTATTTTCCATGTGGCCACAGCTCCCCATCCACTGTTGTCCGTCACTTTCTCCAGCTGAGTGTTCCTTGTTCCCATATCACCAAAGTTTCTCAGGAACTTCATTTCTAAAAGGAGCTTTTAAGCACATTTTAGATTTCACTGGGGTTGTAAAGTTGCAATTTTGTGTTCCAGCTTTTTCTCAGGTAATTCAGATTTAACTTCCATATTTCTTTTCTCATTGAGCTGTTTCACTGACAGTCAGAAATTAATTGATTAGATAACGATTAGAGTTAACTCTGCAGAGTTAACTGGGTGAGAAACTTCTGCTCCTACTTTGGCTTTTAGGTGGTTCCTTGGGTTATGTGACTTTTTATTTAAGCTGGATTTGCTGATGGAATTTGGAATGTTACAATCTTCACATCTTGAGTTTTGACTCCAAGAGTGGGCTGAACTTTAAAAAGCACTTAACGCTGTTAGGATTCATTTTAAATGCATAGAATAATTAGAATAAACTAGTTTATTCCTTCCTGAGCTGACTTTCTGGTATTTTGGGCGGAGTTTTCCTCACCAGCTGTTGGTATTTCCAAGTCTTGCTTTTAAGCCAGATCTGGCATTGGCACAAGAGCAAGAACAGAAATGTAAAGACTGCCAGCATGCAGAGGGAGGAGCACAGAAAATCTCCTATCAGAGCCTGACTCATGCAGAAGGTTATGTTGGAGAGATCCCTGCCCAGTATCCCTTACCCAAAACATGAATGGTCAGCATATTTCAAATTTTTATCAAGGGGAAAGTTCATGAAATAGTTTAAAAATAAAATTTGCTAAGGAGTGGCTGATAATGGCAGGTATTAGGGCAATACCTCCCTAATTGCTGTATTTATTTTAAATTAATTGCTGTCTGATAGTTGAGAATTAAGGGTCAAAAACGGCTTCATTTACAAACTGACTGTTTTATAAACTGGCTAATAGTTTTCCACTGAAAAGTATTTTTGGTCTTGCTGTATTTTCACAGTGGGAATTAAAGTAATAAACCACATTTCAAGTCCTACAGGTCATGCTACAGCTTGAAATAAAATGTGACCTTTAAGTGGTAATGCAGAGACTCAGAGCCTTTGGCTTTGCTCTTTTCCATGCCCTGAGAGATTTTGGGATCTGCTAATACATTTTTCCTTTCTGTCTTGATGAATTGGAGGATAAATGAGTGGTTTTAAATGACTTTAGCAGCCTGGCATGCATTAATGAATGCTGTAAGAGCCTCAAGACAGCAGCACAAACGAGCAAAGGGCACATGGGTATCTTTAGCAATATTTGCAGCTGCGTCACTGAAGGGCTTTGGCAATAGTCAATATTGATCTTTGCCTGATTGCTGAAGGAGTTCTAGAGTCAAAATAGCATTTGGAGAATCTGGATGTCATTGGGATTTTAGGAATTCCCTGTTCTGTTCATGGGCAGAGTTTTGGATTGGTGTCTTGTGTTTGAGGCACTTTGAAAAGTGTGATGTGATAGAATGGTTTGGGTTGGAAGGGACCTTCAAGGTCATCCTGTCCCAGCCCCTGCCATGGGTGGGGACACTTCCCTCTATAAAAGTTTGACATCCACCTTGTGTTTTCTGTGGATGCACCAAAATATTCACCTGGTAGCTCCTGAAAATGCCTGTTAAACGTGGGGTGTGTTGTGGGCAGCTCTGAAAGGGTGGCCTGTGACAGGTGTAGTGTTATTGTATGGTTCTGCCACATTCATAAATCACTTTAAACACTGAATTTACACCCTGTGTTCTGTTTGGTTGCTTGTCCTGCTGTAGAGCTGTTCCTCTGCAGAGTGGCTGTGAATTGCAGGTAAAGAACTGCCCCGTGCTGGTTTCTCAGCAGAGCACACCTTGCTGGAACTGCTCTGGTGCATCTTTACAGGGATCAAAGTGACAAGAACAACCCCATTGTCCAAGGAAATGGGGCATGGAGAAAAATTCCCAGACCTCCCTAAGCTGATGTTTAAACAGGTTCTGTTGTGTTGTCTGTCAAGTTTGCTTAATTCCAAGTAAAGAACATTATATGGCAGTTATTCATATTTATAGTAATAAATTCCTGATATCCCAGGAGCTCTTTTCCTTGCTGCACCTGCAAGCAAATATCCGGAAATGTTTGAGGTTTTCAGCTGCAAGTGTTAGTGACTGGTGTAAGGTGTTAGGAGATGAAAAAGGGGATTCTGGATTTAGTGAGTTTGCTGTCTGAGGGAAGCTTGGAAAATCTCCGGTTTGGAATTGGGCAGGGAGAAATTGGAGGAGCCAAATTGGTGCCACAGGGGAGGGGAGGGAAAGCCAGAGTCACTCCTGTGCTGAAGGGAAGCCCTGCCCTGGGAGCCAAGGTTCTGTGTCCCTTGTCCCCAGCTGGGCTGGCACTGCAGGCAGGGCTCAGGATGGGCCCAGGGGAGCAGAGGGTGTGAGCTGGGAGCATCCAGAGCTGATTCCATGTGCAGGAATGCTGGTAGAAACCAGCCTGGAGTTTTAAAGCTGCTCTTAAAGCTGCAGAAGCTGAGAACTCAAATATTTTGGGGGTTTTTTTTCCATCTTTCTAGTAGAAAATTGATGTTTAATACTGATACAACACCTATTGACTGAGGCACATCTTTTATAAAACACAGCAGTGCCCCTGCTGTGGTAAGATTTTATTCTCCATCCTTACAGTGCTTACACAAACATGTTAATTTTTGCTTTTCATAAATATGTAATTTCCAGCTTCACTGGAATTTGTAATAGGGTTAGGAATTATTCTGCCTCGTGCACAGTAAATTTAACCAAGTGCTTATAATTCAGACTTGGGCTTCATTTATGGTAGCTTAATAGAAAAGATTATTAAGGAAGGAATCAGTGCTGTTGCCTTGTATCTTGAATAGCCAGTGCTTCTGTAAAGGCTGCTATAAAATAATTATCCACTGCTCAATATTTTGCTGATCTAGACCCTGAGAGTTTTTACAGACTATCTGAAGTAGAGCTGGAGGATATATAGAAGAAAACCTCATTTGGTTATGCTAAATGCTGCTAATAGATTTAAACATGAAATTAAGTGTATCAACGTTTTTGAGCACTCCTGGCAAGTTTACAAATGGGAATTTTTAATCTTCTTTTTTGTGGCTTCTAATTGAAGGCTTTTACTTAATTTATTAAGGCTGTTAAAAGTGGCCTTGAAGCCATGAATTAGATT